CGGAAAGGAAGGATCCGCCGAAATACGGGCACGGCTGTTGACCTTGAGCTTCATGTCGCTAATCTCCTTATCAATGTCCGTCATGAACTGTAAACAAGGGCATTGAGATGAGATCCAGCATGCTGGGGGCGACCTTGCCGTGTCGTTGCGCAAAATGCGGCTCACCTGGATGACAAAGTCGACGAGCTTGTGCTTGTACATTTGCTCGGTATGAAAGTTGGTGATGAGAAAGCTAATGTCATAACCCTGGCATAAAGCAAAACACGGATGGGTGAGACTGTCGCCAAGTGTCGCGGCTGTGACGCGCAGGGGGTCGGGCCAACCTCAATCGGCTTGCGGCGCAGCACGAAAAAGTTTTCGGCACGCATCATCATGAAGCGCATAAACTTCTTGCAGAGAATCTTCTCAATCTCATCAGCCTGTCCAAACGTCCATCAAGGTGCCGGTTGCGATTCATTTCATGAGCTTTGAGCTTGGCAGAGCTTGGCAGAGCCGCAATGGCGCACACTGAAGTGGACTGGACAGGCACACATATAACCGCGGTAACATACCTGCTTGATGGCTATGCTGATGCGGACCGAGTTGATGGAAGCCTCGATGCAAACGCGCTCCTTCTCCGAGCGGCTCACAACCACTGGGTTCATCAGCAACTCCTTGCTGCTCCTGTGGTGGTTGAACAACGAGGCGCGGACAGAGGATTAGCTACACGGTAGGCGTACGACAGTTGGCGGTGCGCCAGTTCCTGCCCACTCGTCTGCATAGGAATCAGAGACGATGGATGCAATCCATTCATCACTCGATTAGACCAAGTGAGAGCGGTGTGACGTACGCCACTTCGATTTCGGGCTTGTTGTGACGTTCAACGTGCTGAGAGGAAAAGTTCTCCATGCACATGGCTGCCGTCAGAGTATGGCGCACGGCATCCAAGTACGGTTGTAGCGAGTGGGTGGGCTTTGGGGCGGTTGGTGGGTGAGCCTGCGTATGATACACGGGGGGGAAGAAGATCAGTACAAGGCGACATTTTTATGGAACACTCGTGAGCAAACAAGAAAGGGAGAGCTGAGTACATTTGCGAGCTCACCATGACTGCGGATGATGCACCACAAGAAGCACTCTCGACTAGAACGGGGGAAGTATTACAATCTGCATGCCAAGGACGCACAAAACGACGATCAACGAATCGAGGTTAGCACAGCCAGCAGTCCAGGCACCAGGGGAGCAGCCCCCAGACAAGAACAGCAACAAAGGCAGTTATCCAGCATTCATTGAAAAAAAAAAAGAGGCTTTGAATGATCAAACACCAGCAGTCGCTCAAGGTTCCCCTCGGACCAATGCATTCGTCTCAAGGATCGATCCATGCACAGTAGCAGCCAGGGAATGGCGCTGCCAATTCACTGACCTGCACTCGCGCGCGCGTCGCGAACAGAGAGAGAGAGAGAGAGAAAAAAAAAATTCTCTTTTGTTCTGGGGATTGACGTTTGGTAGCAGAGCGCTATTGGCTGTGGTCCAACCAGGACTCACGGTTGGTAGCGGTCATAGCTTTTGGTTTAGATTAGAGGGGCCGTTTAAACGCTCGAGAACGACGCAAATTTATGAACAAAGCAGCGCCTCGGGCTGGGGTGTGGGGTCGGATCAAAGCTCGTCAGGGTGGGGGGAGGAAGCGATGCTGGGGATGAGCTGAGCTTGGAGTTGATTGTTAGTCCATTGGAGATCCATTTCAACCTTTGTCAAGGGCTATGAAGCATGAAAAACCAGTTTACACCCTGTGAGAAAAAAATAGGGCAGGGAGGAGGGATACAATGGGCATGGACAGAGGGATGCGAGGATCAAACCAAAGCGAGCTGCTGCAAATCCGCTTGATAGCCATGCTAGGGAACACATTCCAAGTGGTGAACGGGCATGAAGGGAAAAAGACAACGGAGACTAAGGGGGGCTAACAGGATGGGGTGTTTGAGAACAAACCTCCAGGTACGCGTGCAAGGGTGCTTTAAATAAAAAGAGAAAAGACTCTGCTTCAACTCGACTCAGACCATGCTATCCAGACATGCCGCCACGTGAGGACACCAAATGCCGGCATTGGGCGTTGTTTGCAGGCAGCCGATGCGTACCCAAAGAAAGTCTCGATCCTGCATGATAAAAGTCGCTGCACTGGCCGTCAGCTCGGGAGACCACACCAAAGGCGGATAGCCTTGAGCCCTCATGTTGCATGCCAAGGCCTCGAGGAGAAGGTCCAAGTACTCTTGAAGCAGAAGCACGTCGATGGGTAAAAAGGGAACCACACGCGAGATGTAGCCCTGTGTTTAAGTTTCAGAAGAAACGGGGGAAACAAAAGGTTGTCAAGAGTACATGTACGCAGTGCCTGTCCATGAAAGATGGCAGAGTTTCGGGGCCTAATATTGCCGCAAACAGCGGCAAACGCGCTGCAGGGCGGGCTGACCTTGAACAAGAGGCGGCGGTAGTAATCATCCTCAATATCATTGATGATGGTATCAAAAGTAGCTTGGGGCCAGTCTTTTCGAGCAAGGCCTTGAGCTTTGAGTTCCCGTGCCTGCCATCACCATCATGTGTCGCATGCCATCAGCCTGCCACGACCATTGGCCGGGTTGGCCCATATTGTGCCAAGAATGAATCAGACAGGCATCACATGTACGCACAGCTTCGATAAACTCCATGCTTAGAACGTGGGTTGTGAGGATGAAGATGGCGCGCCTGGCATCGACGAGGGTGTTGTTGTGCATGACGGGCTGCGCATTGTTCATAAACGTCGTCAGAGCCACAATCAGCTCGGGAGGAAAATGTTGAACCTGTTCATATCAACAGGTGGGTGGTGAGAGCAAGACTGGCGTGCTTGGACTCTGGGAAACGGCACAGCTTTCATGGGGTTGGAGGCACCTCGTCAAAAATGATGATGGAACGTGCGCAACGGAGCTGGCGGGCCACCAAATTCAGAATCTCATCCACGGCTTCAGCATAGTTGGTGCGATGGGCATAAAGGCCTCCGGAGATGGTCAGAAAGCCGTTGACATTGCTCCCCAGCAAGCGCAGGCGCGGTTGCAATAAGACGTCCCGCAGCCGCGACTCGTAGTACTGCAGCCAACACACGCACCAGAGCATGCGTGAGCGGTGGGTGTCGATTAGAACCAACGGAGAGACGAAAAGGGGGCAATGATAGGGCTCTACCGTCTTGCCGACGCCCGTCGGTCCCATAAAGAGGAAGACGAGGGGACGCTGGGGCTGCGGGGTCAAAATGTGGTCTGCGGATCCGGGGACAAGGTTGAGGGTGAGAAGAGCGGGCTTTAATGTCAGCGGCATGGTCGGGGCAGGCAGAAGAAGCGCCGTAAAACTGACTGGCCACGAGATGGGGGACGGTCTCCTCAGCAAAGTGTTGACCAAGCACAGGAAAGGGCTGGTTACAGCCATGTGCGACGTGGAGCTGTCGGTGGAGCTCGGTGGCGTTGAGCTCCTGCACCTTGGGACAGGTCCCCACGGTGCCATGCCGCCAATCCAAAAAGCCCAAGTCCCAGAGACCAGCACGCACAGGCACCACCAAAACACCAACGCCGGCAAGCACAGCCAGCACAGCCAACCTCTCCCATTCCCGCCTCATCTTGCCCGCGCGTCCAATGACCCGTACACACACACACACACACGCACACGCACACACGCACACACGTCGATGTGTCTGCTTGCGTCACGCGTTGAATGAAAATTTCAGAGCAAGTCGACTTTGTAATAAAGCTTTACAAGGACTGCAATAAGTCGAAGGGTTGAGTACTCTGGTTCTGCTTGATTCTGACTTTATAGCGCCTTTTACTTTAGACATTTCTGCATCTTCTTTGTTGTACAACATTTATCTGACAAATTGCCCTGGGTTTGCTGTAGACAACAGCTGTTGTGATCCAGGTCAAATTGGGGGGTCAAAAGTTGTATTGTTTTACAAATGTTATCCCCCAAATCGCTGATGTGTTTTCACACACATACACACACTCTCTCTCTTTCCTCTCTGTCGCTTGTTGTTATGGGGCACGGTGCTACCAGCCGTCATGCGTCTGGCTATTGGGCGAGATGTGGCAATGGGGCCAGTAAGCTGACTGGCAGGGCCGTCGATGCTGTTTTCCCTGGTTGTCGGGGCTGGCGGGGGCTGGGACGAGTCTGCTGGTGAACAAGCTCTCATACACGCACTTTAGAGCTGAACATCTCTCCTAGTTCAAGGCAAACTGGTATATGCAGTCAATGGCGCTCTGCCTCTCTCTCTTTCTTTATCTCTTTCTCTGACTTTTCTGACTCTTTTGTCTTTATGCCTTTTTCTCCTTGTTGCTCACTCTCGCTGTCTGAACTTGTTTCTCTGAATCGCTTTCTCTCTCTCTCTCTTTTGTCTGTGTGTCTCTCTGTGTGTCTCTCTGTGTGTCTCTCTGCCCTCTCTGT